GTTGTATGTGTTTGTTGTTGTGTTGTGTTGTATGTTGTTCTGTGTGTTGTATGTGTATTGTTGTGTGTGTTGTATTTTTGTTGCATGTGTTGTTGTGTTGTGTATTGTGTTGTGAGTTGTGTGTATTTTTGTTGTGTATGTTGTATTTTGTGTTGTTGATGATGATGTATGCATGTATGCACATTTGTTTATGTGGAGGTTCATGCATCTTTGCAAAGGTTTGCATATGCCACATACTGATGCTGGGAATTTTCTTACAAAGCTTTTCAACTAAAGCTGACTATATTCACTTTTAGGAAATAAGCACCTTGACACAGGAATTAGCAAGAAGGCCCATCTTAAATTGCAGAAACTTATTGAAAAATATATGAGCTAAAATTGGTTTATTTAGAATGATGTCACCTTTTGAATTTTCTAATGAATACTTTATCCGAACAGGAGAAACCTTCATGAACAGAGTGTTCTATTTCTTGAAATCATGTTTAATTTTTCTAATGTGTATTCTGCACATAATTAGCTCAATTATCTTCTGTGCGGTGTAACCTCATAATGATAATTATCTTTAACACAACTATTCTGCGTACTCAACTACCAAGTACTATGTACTCAGCTTGAAAACTATCACTTGGGCATCAACACAACAAAGCAAGCTGAAGCAAAAGAAGGTATATCTTATCCATTACTCCTGAACATGGAGCAAACTTAAAAGGACTCGGTTCTCAACACTTTAAAAGGTATTCAGGGTGGCTGGCTCCCCAGCTAGCAGTGAGGAGCACCTGTTGCTCTTCCAGAGGACCTGAGATCAGTTCCCTAGCACCTGCATGGTGGCTTACGGCTGCCTGTAACTCCAGGTCTAGGGGACCAACATCCTCTTCTGGTATCAGTGGCTACCTGCATGCATGTGGTACACATAGGCACAACCAAGCAATCTTCAAAATATACTTATAAATCTAATGCTTCTGAACTAGGCTTAGGTTTTTTTCCATGATGGCACAACTATGTCTCATTGTTGAAAATAATAAATCTCCTGAAACTAGTCAGTATGCAGAATTAAAATTTTGCAATAAAATCAGTTTATAGAAAAATGAAACTGTATGTTTACATATTTTTTCTAAGTTAAAATCTCACAGGTAATAACATTTGTTAGTTGGAATATATTTCTTCAGAGTAGAAAGTGACTAAACCTCCACATTTTGAGTAGAAAATATCCCTAAAAGGGAGGAGTGAGATCTTTAGTGGTTTTATTCACACATGGAAAAGAAGTGTTGACATGGCTGAATGCTGACGTTGGCAGGGAAGCTTGGGTATTAAATTAGAACCATTCCAGGGAGGTCAAAGCCACATGCCAGTGCAAACACTTCCCGCTTTCTGTGCCTGGGTACTTTCCAGGGAGACTGCGTGCTTCCTCGGGGTGGGGTGCAGAGTATCCCTTCCCTCTGTTTGCCTTTGAGGAGCAGTGGCTTCAGATCAAAGACACCTCTTGGGATTTATTTTCTGACTTAATGAGGCCACACTCACCACAAGTCATGTTCTGTTTCTTTTTCTAACACTCCAAGTGGCCATGATTCCTATCCATCTGATGTTGGACCAACCAGGTCACCATGCTGGCCTTGAAATTCTCAGATTCCTCTGGGCAGTTGTGACACTGCCGGCTAAACCATTATAACCACCACACTAAACCATTAGAAGCTTCTGTGTTTTCCCAAAGGGCAAGCAGAACCGATGGTGCCAGGAGCACAACCACTTCTGGTGCTTTAGCTTTGCCACCCATCATTGAAAAGTTTGTTAGGAGCTGGTCAAAAGAAACTCAGACAAAGAAGCCAGGGTGGCAGTTCTGATGTATGAACTTCATTGCAAATTCAAGTATCAGAACTGGGCATTTGAGCACCTTAGATTAAAACAAGCACTGTAAGCTAGAGTGTAAAGTCACAGCCCTCTGCTCACACCAGTCAGCGCAGGGATTAAGAAAGGCCTCAGCACCACAGCCGACCTGTGGTAAGATGCTTCTGGCTAACCCCAAGCTGCAGCCTTAGCGGTGTTAGCAAGTCACTTGTTGGTTCTCTCCACTCAGAATGTCACTCTGTGCACCTCAACGTGTGTTTCTGCTAGGTTTTCTCACAAACTACTTGACAACACTGTGTACAAAACAATTACGTAGAACAGGAGTAAAAGAGAATGAAAACCTGACTCATTCAAGGAGTTTTTGTCTGCTTTCTCTTTTGAGCTGTATAGCCCTGGCTGTCCCAGAGCTCATTCTGTAGACCAGGCTGGCCTCAGACTTACAGAGATCTGCCTGCCTCTGCCGCTCGAGAGCTGGGATCACAGGTATGTGCCAACACTGCCCAGCCTCATTCAAAATATTTGCCTCAAGTGCCTCAAGTATTATATTGTACCAAAGCAAATAAATTCTGAGCCACAGAGCTCTGGGCAACCGTGGTCTTGCCTCTTATTTTTTGAATGAGGTGTCTTTCTATATTCTCCTTAGGCATGATAGCAAGACTATTACACCACACCAGAGACAATCTGGCAAGGTAGGTGGCAAGCTACCTTCTTATCAAGTGTGTATACTGGGGACCCCAAAGAGCCATCAGGTATTTGAGAGTGGCTGATGAGAAGACATGAACTTTCTATTACTGCTCAAGACAAGAGAAAATTGTAAAAATATCTCTCCCAGAAATGCTAGTTAAGCCCAACAGAGAGAAATGTGTCTGACAGATAAAGCACTTATTCAAAGCTTTGATTATTTTTTATTTAACTAGTTATCCAGCAGGTATAGCTTGTTATTCTTCTCCATCAGTCACTGTAGGCTTTTCACGGGTCTTTTTGGAGTGTGTGTGTGTGTGTGTGTGTGTGTGTGTGTGTGTGTGTGTGGTACCTTATAAATCACTTTTTAAATCAGTTGCTTGAGCTGTAACAACCACTGTTTAAAAATACAAGAAAATGTTTGCAGTAGTTTAAAGAAAAAATTAGTAATATTAATTTCTGATGTACTGACAGAGATGTTCTAATGAACCTCCATAACAAAGTCTTTCAATGAAATTAGTACCTCAGTTTTCGTCTCTTTTGGAGGAAATGTAGCCAAATGTTTGTGCAAAGCTGCTGTTTGCTCATTGCTTTCAGTTCCTGCTTTCTTAATACCAATGGATGTTTAGCAATTACGAATAAGCCCCTCGTGTGGCAGGTGCATGTTCTAATTCTGTTAGGCTTAAATGCATTGCTGCTGCTGCATGGGCACGTATCAAACACCCCGAAAAATTAGTCAAGTTTATAAAGGGACAAAGGGAATTTTTCTGTGCATATTGTGGAAAAGCTCTTTCATGTGGTACTTAAAATTTCTAGGGAACAGCTTGTTTGGGACCGTCTTTGCTTTGAACGTCACAGCCAGAGAATTCCCTCAGTTTTTACCTTGAGTCATTAAAGAGGCTCATGAATGTATGACAGAAAACAACTAACCCACCTATACCTCAGGATAGAAGACCAATAGTAGTCTGGGCTCCATTCAATACCATCAAACCAGGACAATTCCTGAGCTCCCTAAGACTTTCTGAAGGATACCAATAGAAAAGCCATCTTAGAAAATGCTTTGATTCTGTATTGATAGCCTGAAAGTTCATTCTCACCAGTCTCTTATTTTAAAACAAGGCAACTGTGGCTCAATGAAGCTGAGCCACATCCCTAAGTTGGCCCAGGAGCAAACCTACATGCTTCTTACAATGATTCATGCCTGCTTTCACAGACATGCCCTTCTTGCTCTGCCATGAATGCCTGAAGCTTCTGAGTTTCCTGGCTTGGTTTTGAGGAATTTGAACAAATTCCTGTCTGGTACATTTTGGGAAAACAAAATTCTGCTTTGAAAAGTAGACAGATCAGGCCAAGGAGAGGCAAAAGGGAGGGAGGGGAAATTCCTCTCTGTGCTTTTGGATCAGGGTCCAACAGTTATTTTGTGTTTCTGCTGGATTAACATTTCTCTGCCCCCTATTCTTCTGTGTTCCCCAGATTACTAACAAGACAGTGTGAAAAGTTTCAGTTATCTTCTGAATTTTTATCAACTCTTCAAATTGAAAAACTAAAAACAACAAGATTTTTCTTTTATCAATGTCTTAGATGAGTCAAAACAACATAAAATTCAAAACTAATTCTTATTTAGTTTTTAGATAGAACTTCTGGAAATTCAGTAGCAACAACTAGAATTCTGGTTATTGTATCATGTTTTGTGACACAAGTACAGTTATTTAAGAGGTAGAATATTAAAGAACATATTTTATAAAAGTAAATTGGCTGTGACTTTAATAAAATGGCTATTTTTGGGAACACACTTGTAACTGATTTTTGTCATGTTTTGAAAAGGTAAAGCTAGGACAGATATTTGCTGTGTATCCTTCAAGACTTGTTTATCTCTTATTCATTGGCATATGGCAGTTCAGACTGATATATACATACACACACACATAGATACATATATATCCTATTTAGGAATGGTTGCCTTTAGACAAATTTCTTCCTGAAGTGGACAGTTTCAGAACCATGTACAGAAATTATTTCCCCTAAGCAGTTTCACTTCTAGCAGCTGGAGAGAGCAACAGCACAGACTTGGAAAGTCTGCTAGAGGATGCAACGGCTGCCACAGAAGCTGAGTTCCTGGGGCAGAGCATCTCTATTGCCCAGGCCAGCAGATCTCAGCTACTGCAGAGACCGATAGTCTAAGTAACTGTGGTTCAGTCCTCTCCAGTGGCTGACCCCCATGGAGACGCCAGTGTGGGGAGATCAAAAGTGCTAGCTGAAAACCAGTGTACTCTTACTTTAAAAACCTCACATAAATACATAGATCTGAATCAATAGTTCTGAGAAAGATAACAAGGCCAAATTCACAATGGCTTTCTGCAAAACAGTTCACTTTTCTTACAAAAAAAATTCTATTAATCTTGCTGTAAGTTACCAGCAAGCCTAACCACAGAAATTCATATTCCATATGAATTCTTAACCCAAAGATGGTTTCTTACCATAGATCTGAAATAACAATGCAATATCACAACTTAATGTCATATAAAGACTCACTTAAGATTCTTGCAATGTACAAAAAAAGGGACACCTTAAACATGAGAACATTAGTTTTTAAAGATAACATTTTAGCTTCTTAGCTAATGAACTTATCACTTCTTAACATGAAGTGATAAATTATTTTTCAATAAACGTTATAGTTTGTCTCATATCAAGGCTCTAAAAAGCTTGCCCAAGAAGTGTTATTTCTAAGTGAAAAAGTGTTAACTTATAAATGAAGTAGTGCGAATAATACATATTCAGACAAACAGGCAGTCAGACACAAGTACACGCCTGTTTTTACATACAATATCTGAAAGTCCCAAAGTAAAACAAAGCCACAGGAATTCAGGTATTTGGAAGGACCCTCAAGCCTGCAGCTTGTTGTTCTAGGCAAGGCAATATGAGAGATATTAGTTCTGTGACAGGATGTGTTCTGACAAACCACTGCAGTACTTTGAACTCACACCCGCAGCCATAAATGTGGAGGGAAGCCTTCAGTCCATAGCTGAGCACAACACGCCCACTTCCACTAACCGGCCAGTCTGTGCTTCTTTGTCTATTTTCAGAGGATTTCTGAAAGAGTTGATCTTCATTTTAAGTAATAATGCTCGGCTTAAGCGTTACTCAGAATCTGAAGCTTTTGACAAAAACATATATGTGTGTGTGTGTGTGTGTGTATATATATATATATATTTTTTTTTTTTTTTGAGACAGGATTTCTTGGTGTAGCCCTGGCTGTCCTGGATTCGCTTTGTAGACCAGGCTGGCCTCGAACTCACAGAGATCCGCCTGCCTCTGCCTCCCTGAGTGTTCGTATCATTGGCATGTGTCACCACACCTGCTAGTTTTTGAAAATTTGAGCATTTTATTTTTGTAGGAAATACCCTCCTCTCAGCTGTGTCAAGCTTTGTATTTTGGCAAAACAAAGTGTCACTGAGCGATTGTTACATCAAAGTATATAACGTTTAAAACGTGCCATTTTTATTATCCAATGATGATTTTTCTTTTAAATAAGGCCTGAAATCATATACAAAGAAGTAACTTTATACAGACTGAGCTGGTTGTATTTATATATTTGGAATGCACACACACACACACACACACACACACACACACACACACACACATATATATATATATATATATATAATATGACAATTAAAAAATAGAGGTCTTGAATTTGAGAGAGAGGGTTCATAGAAAGGACTGAAGGGGAAACAAGTGGGGGGAAATGATGTCATTATATTTTAATTTCAAAAAATATTTTAAAAAGTAAATGAGGAAAAATGTACCCACAGTAGCATTTTTCGATGTATGCTATGATCTAACATTTTATTAAACTGAGGTCTGTATTCTTTCCTTTCAACAAGCACTTCAAGAAATGACCAGAACTTAATCATTGAGGCAAACAATTGGGGTGATTTTTTTCCCTTTTTGTGCGCGTGCGCACACACACACACACATACACACACACACACTCTGTCTCTCAAACACACGCACACAGGTACACTCACACTCATATTCACACACACACTCACACACACACACACACAC